CTTGCCGACAACGCCTACTTGTCATCTTATTAATTCCTCTAATTGTCAACTCGTTATAAATTCATGTAAACAAGTGTTTGCCGACAACGCCCACTCGTCAACTTATTAATTCATGTAAACAAGTGTTTGCCGACAACACCTAGTTGTCAACGTATTATAAATTCCTGTAAACAAGTGTTTGCCGATAACGCCTACTTGTCAACTTATTAATCCATATAGTTGTTAACTTATTATAAATTCATGTAAACAAGTGTTTGCCGACAACGCCTAGTTGTCAACTTATTAATTCATCTTGTTGTCAACTTATTATAAATTCGTGTAAACAAGTGTTTGCTGACAACGCCCACTCGTCAACTTATTAATTCATGTAAACAAGTGTTTGCCGACAACGTCTACTTGTCAACTTATTAATTCATCTAGTTCTTAACTTATTATAAATTCGTGTAAACAAGTGTTTGCCGACAACGCCTACTTGTCAACTTATTAATCCATATAGTTGTTAACTTATTATAAATGCATGTAAACAAGTGTTTGCCGACAACGCCTAATTGTCAACTTATTAATTCATCTTGTTGTCAACTTATTATAAATTCGTGTAAACAAGTGTTTGCTGACAACGCCCACTCGTCAACTTATTAATTCATGTAAACAAGTGTTTGCCGACAACGTCTACTTGTCAACTTATTAATTCATCTAGTTTTTAACTTATTATAAATTCGTGTAAACAAGTATTTGCCGACAACGCCTACTTGTCAACTTCTTAATTCATGTAGTCGACAACTTATTATAAATTCATGCAAACAAGTGTTTGCCGACAACGCCTACTTGTCAACTTATTAACCCATTTAGTTGTTAACTTATTATAAATTCCTGTAAACAAGTGTTTGCCGACAACACCTATTTGTCAACTTATTAATTCATCTACTTGTCAACTTATTATAAATTCATGTAAACAAGTGTTTGCCGACAACACCTAGTTGTCAACTCATTAATTCATCTTGTTGTCAACTTATTATAAATTCATGTAAACAAGTGTTTGCTGACAACACCTAGTTGTCAACTCATTAATTCATCTTGTTGTCAACTTCTTATAAATTCGTGTAAACAAGTGGTTGCCGACAACGCCCACTCATCAACTTATTAATTCATGTAAACAAGTGTTTGCCGACAACACCAAGTTGTCAACTTATTATAAATTCATGTAAACAACTG